ATGGGGATAATGGCAAGAGGTGGCATCATGGAACCCCCAAGAGGGGAGTGCTTTGAAAAGGAGAGGAGTCAACCTAATATTCCTGAGATGTCGAGTAAAATGAAGACAAAACGTGACCATTGGAGAGGAACATGGAGATCGTTGGTGACTTTGAAGAGTGCAGTTTGGGGGAGGGTTGAAGGCAGGTTCCAGGTAGGGTGGTATCCTAATTGTTGGGGTAACTTGGATTCGTCATGATGTCTGGGAGGCCACGAAACCTTTGGGCATCGATAAGTGGTGAGGCGAGCAGAGAGGACCTGATGCTATAGAAAAGCAGGCAGTTGGTATGTTTCGTGTCCCATGTCTCTGATGGGTGTCTGTGAAGATCAAGCTGCCCTGAGCCTGGCAGGATGGTGCAGGAGCTGAAGAATCTCTTGCAACATCCTTCTCCAGACGTTGCTCACTAACCTGTGTCCCTCTCCCCCTGTCTGCTCCCCTACAGGACACTTCACGGCCATGGTGTGGAAGAATACGAAGAAGATGGGAGTGGGAAAGGCATCTGCAAGTGATGGGTCCTCCTTCGTGGTGGCTAGATACTTCCCAGCAGGGAATGTTGTCAACCAGGGCTACTTTGAAGAAAATGTCCTGCCTCCAAAGAAGTAACTTGCCCAATGTAATGGGCAGGTGGCAGACTAAGAACATGGATATCAAGTGCCTAGAACATCAAAAGCTCAGCTGTGTATCCGTCTTTGTGGGTGTATGTGCTTGCGTGTGTGATGCATGTGCGTGTCTCTTGCACACACACCCTTGGATATACAGTTGTGCATGAACTAATTCTTACCAAAGGATTGAGCCAATGAAGCCTTTACTCTGATGGTTAGACCACAATTATTTGGACTTTGGGGGGAAAAATCAAGTTTTAAACTTTTTGGGGTTATTTTTAAAGTAAACTTCTTCTGTACTTTTCTTACTTATAATATCCATCCCTGGACTTTTTGTACTTCAAATGTTTGTGATGCTGAGAGGTGAAGGTCATTTCCTATGATCATGCATTAGAATCTACTTGTGGTAGATACTGAAGACTATTAAACCCTCATTTAAATGTGACATAGAACACAGCTTTAAACACATAAATAATAAAGCAGCTTCCATCAGAAACATGGTGCGGGCAGGGGTTCCATTTCACAGAATTACTGAGAGTTCTTTGTTGTAAGACATGATGTCATCTGCATGGCCCCTGAAATTCTCGGATGGGATTGCCAAAGAACAAATGGAGAAAAAAGCTTCACTTCCTTGCATTTTTCTACCTTAAAATAACAAAGTTCTCCTCCTACCACCACCCCTTGATGCCCCCCCTCTTTTTTTCTTAAAGCCCCCTGACATTTCATAGCTCAATATGCACCCCCTGATTTCTGGGGAGCTGGGTTAGGCCTGAA